AGTTAGAGGCATCCGTGGTTGTCAGCGAGACCTGAAAACTCTAGCGAATACCGGAGTTTTCATTCTCACACGATCCACAACCCCCGCCCAACTTCTTGATCACCACAACACCAAACATCGGGCTTCAGCCACCTCAGAACCACGTGTAAGAAAAGAAAATGGTGAGAAAATGAGAGAGGCAGTGAAACCGACAACGCTCTCGCGAAGTGAACCTATATGAAACCGACGTCAAAACCTCCAATTTATGCCACAAAAATCATCACAGATACTTGTACACACACCAGAGAAAGATTTCGATGCTTCATACACGTCGTACACCGTCGGAGGAGGAAGACAAAACCTCGGGTTTTCGGATCTCCCTAGACTCAAAAATGAAAGAAAAAGGAGGAAAGAAGACGTCGAAAACGACGTTACTAAAGAGAGAGAAAGGTCGCCGGAATTTTTTTGATAACCAGGCGAAGAAGACGAATCCCGACCCACGACTCGAGCCAAAACCCAGTCGAGTCCAATACCCGCGACCCAGATGTCTCAGCCTAACCCAGAAAACCCAATCTGCGCCTCGACCTAACCTATCAGTCGTGACCCGAAACCGCAAACCGAAACCAACCCACAAACACTAGCCTCGAACTCAACTCCAACCCGTCTGTGATAGAACCCAACCCAGAAATCGTGACCAAGACCCAAACTGCTGATCGCTTGTGGATGTATATAATAAAATGATGTCAAAATCACAAGAATAAGGGCAAGAATAAGGGCAAGTATATACTATCACAACTAGCAAGTAATAAGTACATTATCGATTCTACGAAGAACCTATCTTTTTGGATAATTGTATCGCTGAAAATTAAGTGAGTTTTGAGTAACATTCAAATGAGTGTTTGTGATTTTAACTAATTAAACAAAACTAATGCAGAGTGTCACTACTGTCGAAGAACAGAAAATGACGAGAAAATCAACTATAACGAGGAAGGTTCGACTAAGAGAGATTCCATAGATAAGTTGTTGAGTTTTATGGTAGATTTTAGTTCCTTTTAATGGACTCTCAAGCCCACTTTCGAGCATCATGCATAGTGATTACGTCCATAGTCGTTTTTAATTTCTATTAACATAAAGTCTCCTTACAATGGAACTATAGTATTAAAGAGGATTTTATTGCTCTCTCTCTCCTCTCGAATAAGAGAACAACTATGTATTTAAAATAACTAATTATACACACATGTAAATCATTAATAGCAACTCTTTAATAAACTAAAACCATACCGCCAACCTACTTAAACTATATAAAACTCTCTAGCCTCCCCTATAAAGTTTAGCTCTCCATACAAACTGATTGAACAGAGGAACCCACGTCTCAATCATATAAAATGGATAGAATAAGAAGAGGGAGTAAGAAATAAGAGATTTATCCAACTTTGTTGTTGTTCTTCAATAGAAGTTCCCTTCTTTTGAGCTCTCACGTCCATCTCTTCGCCCTAATCTATCTTTCTTGGTCTTCTTTTTTTATGTTGTCAATAGCTGCTGGTTTAAGGCTTTTCTTCTTCTCAGGTTTCACAACAGCAGAGGCTCTACTGTCTAATCCGAAAATCCTCTCTCAAAGTGTGGCTCCACTCCTTTTTTTTAAGCATCATTTTTCTTTTATAATGTTTGTTTCTTCTCATTCAGGGAAGAGTGTGAATGTTTGATTAATCCACCACACCTAAATAGTGTGAAAGTTATCTTATTTATAATCATATGGAAATAGTAATAAATGGAAATAACAATAAATGGAAAGATACTTATGATAATAAGGCAAATATTAGATATTTGCCTTATAATAAAATATCAAATATAATATATATGGTAAACTATAATTTATTACTAAATATCCTTAACACCCCACTGCAAGCTAAGCGTCGGATTTAAACGAACGTGAAGCTTGAATTTGAAAAATTCAAAGAGGTTGAGAAATACTTTTCATGAAGATGCTAACAACCCGGTTCTTGGCCATCAAAAATTGCAGAGGGATCGCCGCTCAGCGGCGATGCTGCCTTGGCTTCAGCGAGAATATGTCTAACACATGAAGAGGGATTGTCGCTTAGCAACGATGCTGCTTTGGCTCTGGTGAGAATATTTCTAACCCCAAGAAGTAGAAGGGGAAACCTAGAGCAAGGGACAAAGACAAATATTGAAGCCGGAAGAGTCGCCACATTGGGTGAAGGAGCCAATTTTTGCGAGAATGGCAGTCGGAAGAGTCGCCTCATCGGGTGAAGAAGCCAATTTTGGCAGGAAGGGCGGCGGCAACTTGATTGGCGAATAGACCAGTGCGACACCCAGATTCCGAAGGTAAATCTCTGCAAAAGATTGATAGGTTTAGGTTAGGGTTTATTTGAAGGATGAAGGTTGATTAGGAAGAAAATGAGAGAGACTATATTGACCAAGGGGAAAACCGATTGGGTTGGAAAAGGTGAGGTTGTATGTACAGAGTATGACGAAAGGTGATTTAGAGGTTAATAGGGTGGAGCCGAAGAGTAATCAATCGGCTCCGACTACGACAGCCATGAAGACTGCCCCTGCGGCGTCAAAGCCAGCAGGGGTGGTGGAGAAGAAGATTAGAGGATTCAAAAGCCATTGAAAAGAAAGAATCGGGGTTGTTAAACCGAGAGGGCTCTGATACCATGTGAATGTTTGATTAATCCACCACACCTAAATAATGTGAAAGTTATCTTATTTATAATCAAATGAATGACAAGGATATGGAAATAGTAATAAATGGAAATAACCATAAATAGAAAAAGATACCTATGATAATAAGGCAAATATGAGATATTTGCCTTATAATAAAATATCAAATATAATATATATGGTAATATATATGGTAAACTATAATTTATTACTAAATATCCTTAACAAAGAGAAAGGATAAAAATTTTCACCTACGATGTTTCTAATTTGGTAGTCAATAACCCACTTGGAGGGTTTAGGGTTTAGGGTTGATGTGGATTAAAATTTCTAGGTCATCCTGGAAAGTTTTCTTTGCGAATTAGTTCAGCATCAGGGTCAACAATTTATTTCCAGATTTGCAAGCAGTGTTATTTCTAGATTTGATACAACATCATGGTTCCGTAAATGTTCTGGAATTTTACCAAATAATTCAATTAAGTGTACAATTAAGCTCGATTTATGCAAATTGATTTTCTTTTCATGTTAAACCACAATTGACTATTTCATGTATACTCATTAGAATAAATGGAGCATTTGATGAGAAAATGGTGAGTATGAGTGCAAAATTAACTCTAAAAAGACTTGATATAGCTCTACTTTTGGAGAGCTATCAATTGCTTGACGACCCACGCCTCGACCCGACTTCAGCAGCCCAAATCCTCAGCAGACAAAATTCCCGTAGCCTAATAATAGAACCCAGCCTAGAAACCGTGACCGAGACCCGAACTACCTGACGACCCGTGCCTCGACCCAACTTCGGCTTGCACACGCGGGCGCTTCTGGTTGTTCCACATGTCACCGTCTGGCCCAAACTCCCTCTCGGCTCCGATGGTTTGATCGACTCGGCAACTCCTCGGCTCCGGCGGTGTATTCGGCTCAGGAAACTTACTTTTGACTTGTTCGGCACTGTTTCGACCCTCCCAAACTCGATTTCAACCTCATTTAAGGTAAAATAGGTCAATATAAGACCCTATTTCACAATTTCAAGTTGGACTTTAATTATGTTGTTAAATATTAACAAGGGTGTTGAACGACCCAATAGGAACCAATCACAACAAAAGCGTAGGATGCATACAAGGAGCTAGAAGCTTGCGTATATTTTAGGGAGTACATTGGCTAAGGCCTTCCAAGTAAGTGGCTCTACCCTCGTATCTTACGCAATTGTATGTTGTATGTTGGCACGTGTCATAAATTGTAAGTTAGACTGTTACGATTTAATACGTAACAATATGCAATGGGAATGTATGCTATTTTTGAAATGACTTGATGTGCGATATAATTTGACGTGATGTGTTGTGCTTAGAATGTTGATGTGATCGTTGAGATGTTTTCGGTATGAATCGGATGTCATGGTATGTTATGATGAAAGCATGAAATGTGAGATTATGTTTCCTAAATTATATGTATACAACATGATATGTATGACATGAAATCACAATGTATAACATGAAACATAACCCTGTTAGAATTATGCATGATAGGAGAACTGGAAAAATGAGAAGTAATATAATACGAATGAAAACGATAACGAGATTATATCTATTAATGATAAAAGTAGAAATATTGGGGACCTCATGCATTATGTGTACTCATGCATTGAGGGGATACCCCTATTCTATCACGATGGTATGAACGCGTACACCCAAGAGCAGGAGAATGATCATTATGTTTTACATAGCGATGCCGTGATGGTTACTAATTCGAATGAGTGTCCGACCTAAGAAGCTCCTAGAGTATGCTTGCCCGATAAGGAAAGTAGCCTAGCGGTGTGCGAACTGACTGGTGAGTCTATTCTTGCAAGTTACCCGTTAGGATAGCACCGTAGGAAGATAGATTGAAGGATAGGTCCCGCCATCTCATTTGCATGTGTTTGCTACATAACCTTAATATGGGGTCGCTTATTGAGTATTCTTAAAATACTCAAGGCTTGTGCTAGATTAGTGTAGGTTGAATTGTATCTGCATTCATAGTATATGTTAGTATAGGTTGAATTTCATTTGCATCATTAGTATAGGTTAGTACAAGCTGAATTGTAATTGCATTAATAAACTATAGATTAGCATAGAGTATTTAACTCGACATATTTTATGAATTATGTTTCCAAGATTTTTGAAATGGATAGAAACTCATGCAACCTTGCCATTTAATAAAAATGAAGATCCGTTAGATTGTACCGTTCAAACTGTTAGCTGAAAATGTCTCACATTGATTAATTTAGAGAATGGTCATGAGTTTATAATCTAAGAATACACTCTCCATTGTACGAGGTATTTTGGGGAAATGAGAGCTTATACTATAAGTTCCAATCAATCGATTGCCTGAGTTGACTCAAGGGCCGGCTCCATAAAGGATTCGCCATTTTCATTTGCCATTCCTTTTTCTAATTCTATAGCCTAACCAAGATCACGGAGTTCTTCAATTTCTTTGTTTCGTTTCCCCTTTTCATTGGACGCGCCATCGATTTTACATTGGATTGGAGTATTTTGGTATTATGTCTGATCTGTTCTTACGGGATGATATCTTCAATTTCATTTATGTTTTTCTTTTCTAATCTCCCTTGGTAATGCCACATGCTGTTTTGCTTTCAATGAATCTGCTGAGATTTAGTTTTTCTTTTCTTTGATTAGGTACTTAACCGGGAGGATTCTTATTTTTTAAAATTGTTGATTGATGGATTCGACGTCGAATCAAACCGAGTTTGATTACTTGTTCAAATTATTGATGATTGGGGACTCGGGGGTTGGAAAAAGTAGTCTGCTCTTAAGTTTTACTTCCGACAGCTTCGAGGATCTCTCTCCAACAATCGGTTAGTTCTGTCATACAGATCTATATATATACATATGAGCATAGACAAATCGTTTGTGTTGTTTGCTGTGGTACATTGGTTTATCATTTTAAAGAAATTGATGTTAGATAATGAAATGCTAGTGTTGAATTTTCACTTTCATTTGCTGCATGGGATTGAGATGAGATTGAGTGCAAAAGATGAAATGAAAGGGAAAATTGAGAGGACTATTGTTGAGAAAATGAGGAATAAGATTGTGAGATTCCATTAATCTTTCAACAATATTTCATCAAGAAAAGAAAGGGGCTCTTAGACAATCAGGTCAAGCTTCATTTTAGGACAGTTAAAGGAAATTAGCTACATGCATTCATTTCTGAAAAGCTAAAATGAGAAGCAATTTCTAATGGAAAATAATATTTCCAAGTAATGTATGGTTCATTTTTATTGCTTTGTACTGTTGTTATTTGCAGGAATTGCATTATAGCATTATGAAAGGCCTTTTTTACCTGCGTTTCTTACTGTGGGAGTTGTTAGTTGACAAGATTTTCCTTTTACCTTTGTAAATTTGGTTGAATTTTAAAATGCACTACTGAAATTATGTTTTCTATCTCATTCTTAATTGAATTAGTATTAACAAAATTGAGACTTTGAAATGATATTTTGATTATAAATCCTACATTTTCATGTTTCATTGTGTTGGATTGCTTGATTAAAGTGCAAAACGCCACAAACCTTGCTAACTTCTACTTATTTGGCTTGTGATGGCAGGTAAGCATCAGAGAACAAGAAATCTATTCTAATTGATTGTCATTTTCATGCGCAGGTGTGGATTTTAAGGTAAAGTATGTTACTGCTGGGGGTAAAAGGCTGAAGCTTGCAATTTGGGATACAGGTAATTAAACTTCTCCACATACATGATTTACCAGATCTCCAAGCAAGGCATTCTATAGAATCTAATCCAATCTTAAATCATACAGCTGGGCAGGAGAGATTCAGAACATTGACTAGTTCATACTACAGAGGCGCTCAAGGGATCATCATGGGTGCGTTCTATTCCCCTTTTTATGCGATTGTTTTAAGGAAATAAAAATTCTTGGCTAAGTATAAATATTAAATATCCTAGATGTGTTTAGTTTAAAAGGTGTTCATTATGTTTTCAAATTCGAAGTTGTTCATTTGTTTGGCTGTCCAATATTATTCTACTGCCTTCTGTGTTGTTGTCTTGATTATGACATCAAAGGTTAACTGTGTCAGTTTATGATGTAACGCGGAGGGAGACCTTTACAAACCTCTCTGAGGTATGGGCGAAGGAAATAGACCTATATTCGACAAATCAAGATTGCATCAAGATGCTTGTGGGGAACAAAGTCGATAAGGTATGCATCTTCAACTTTCATTTGAAATTTTCTATAAGCCTGAAGCAGATTCCTGTAACATTTTTGTAGATGCTGGTTAATTTTCTATTGTAACATTTTTAGTGTTCCGAAGAATTTTCAGGTTAATTACTGATTACCATTTGATAATTTAAGAGCCGATTAAGTGAGTTATGAATAGCCATGCTTTTTCCATAAGGGTGTGTTAGGTATCCAAGCGGTTATATACTATTATTAAAAAACTTTGAAGAGTGTCAAGATACCTTAATAATGAAATCTAGACATTAGGCTGACTCATCTCCAAGCACAAAGGCCAAAGCCTTTCCTAAATTACATGTATGTTCTCAAACTCACGTCCCTACTACAAACTATATCAAACTCGTACTCTTAATTAACTTAACCTTCTTTTGTTAGTGTTTATTGGTATAAAGTTTATGCTCCCTTCAGATCATAGAGTTTATCTTTGTAACTTTGGGTTCTTGGATTTCATCCACTCTTTTTTGTAATTTCATTCCATGAATGAAGTTAATTCTTCTCGTAAAAAGCAAAAAAGAAATCATGGATTCTTATACAATATGAAGTCCTTGTGTTGAAGGTTTCGTTCAAACAATTGTTATGGCTTTAGAAATCAGCTCAATTAAAGCCTTGGGAATGAATTCGCTTGAATTTTTTTTTAATGAAATCAGTTCCAAACCCAGCCTTCATGTTGACTATCCATTCATTTCAATGGCTTTAATTAGGTCATACCCTTTCGACGGAATTATTTTCCCATTTCCCTGTAAGGAAGATTTAGATGAACATTTCAAATTAATACTACTAAATGTTTTAATTGGCTAATATATATATATTTTAACAAGAAACCGAACATTCCTTGGGAAGAACCTAAGGAAGTGAGGTTTAGTGAAATTCTTTTGCTCTCTATTCTCTTATGATATTGTTCTTCATACTCTGCATCCAGCTTAGTTTTTATCTGTATTTTCTTCTTCAGGAAAGCTTTAGGACAGTAACAAAGAAAGAGGGAATTGACATGGCTAGGGAATGTGGTTGTCTTTTTACAGAATGCAGTGCCAAAACTCGAGTTAATGTACAACAGTGCTTTGAAGAACTTGTTTTAAAGGTAATAGTATTAGTTCAGTACTTCTAGTTTATTTTTTGGTCAAAAGATCCATATTGATTGGTGACTGTCAGGAACGTGGTGTTTCCCCTGTTGTAACAACCACATCTTTGATAGTTCTCGAACGATAATTGCTGTCACGTTCCTGGTAGATTCATAAATAGGTTGAGACATCTATGAGAGTTGCTAGGCAGTGGAAAATTTTTGAAACCTCTCAAAAAGTCGCGTTTTAACAATGATTATTCCTCTTCTTTATCCTGCGAACTTACTGAATGGTGCATGGACGAAAAAACGTGATAATAATGATTCTTATGTGCAGATTCTTGAGACGCCCAGCCTTTTATCTGAAGGCTCTAAAGGAGTGAGAAAGAACATCTTCAAGGAAAAGCCTCCACAGCCTGATGCATCCGCGAGCAGTTGTTGCTGAAATCGGTTCATTGTCTCTAACTACATTTGCTGATTATTTTCCAAATTATTGTAAAATTATAGTAGAAAGGCATGGTGTTACAGCTTTTATAGTATCTCACAAATTACGGTACAAATTAAATGTGTTCTTGTCTTCTGGGCTGGCTTTCTTGTACAGAGAAAAATTGGAAATGGAAACATAATATTGTTTATAGCTTATTCAATTGTTGTTTATATATATATATATATAGTAGATAGTTATATATTTAGTAGATAGTAAAATTATATATAGTAAATTGAATCATATATATACCTCTTAGAAAGTGGTGTGAAAATGTACTTTCTGCGAAATTCAATACAAATTTTTAGCCAATATTCCTCTTTGTTGTGCGATCCTAACATCTTTCTTGTTTCATTTCTTTTCATTAAGTCTTAGATGTATTGTGACTGATAGATGGTTCTGGTTAGAGCTGGGCAGTAGGATAGAAGTGCCCCAACTGCAGGTATTCAATTGAAGAGTAAATCGGCCAAGGTCGAGTCCGATGTGAGATCAAAAGAAAGTTGAGTTAGGATTTCGACGAAAGGGAAGAACCTTTGGTTGTATTATCATATAATTTAGAGGTCTAGTAAGTTGGAGCTTCTTTTACAGGTTCATGGAATGTAGCTGCTAGATATGTGTGAAGATCTCTTGACAGGGGTCTCTTTTTGTTCAACTTTTGAAGTTGGTGAATGGTGGGATTAAAGTAAAAGCTGCTGCTTTAAACGTAGTTAAGTAGAGTATGAGATTAGTAAACACATGGATGAAGACTAATACAACATCTTTTTCATTTTTACTTGACCATCGAGACATTGTTTAGGTACGATTGCGGAGATCATGTGAGATCGTTAGAGATAAGTCATTCTCAAAGTTAAGGAGTTTCTCTGATTTATGAAATCTTTGATTTCAATCTCAAACGGGATTTTGTTGAATACGTTGAAAAGGTGAACAAAGTTATCAGGTAGGTGGGATGGGGAAGCCTTCTCCGTTCCTAACCTTGCTTCTATTTCAAATCTCATCATTCTAAATTTCCCATTATAGTTCTTTTTTCCATTTTTAATATTTTCTTTTAAAAAATATTTATTCTAAATAAATTAATATAAAAAAAATGTTTTATAAGAAAAAAAAATTATAATATAGTGCTTAGAAATTTCGGTCCCCGGAGAAATTTCTCTTTTACTACCTCTACCTGCTTTATTTTTTCTGTCCACATTTAGCTAACGAGAAGAAATCTCTCCACTCCTCTCATTTTCGGTTTAAACGAAAATTCACTGCTCCAGGGCCTCATGGACCAGTCCCTGATGAATTCCACACCTTCTTATCGTTTTGTAAATTGTAGTATGAGAAAATATAGAGAGATATTTAGAAATTTGATTCTAAAACGATATCTCAATGGTTAAGGCAATCTATATTGAAAATATGAAAATAAGGCTGAAGTTTTGCCACCAAAATCAACAGCCATGCCCATGGCATCTCCAACTGCAACGCCACTGATTCCCCATCTCCTCTTTCCCTCGTCTTCCACAAACCCTAACCCCAACAAACCTTCAAAACCCATCTCATTTCCTCGATTACCCACCAAACGTTTGCTTCTCTTCTCCCTTCCCATCGCCACTGCCCTTCTCCTCCCAATTCCGAGCAATCCGATTCAGCCCAGTTCTTGCGACGCGCTGGAAAGCTTTGACCCTGTCAGCCGTTCTGAGCGAGAAGCGAGTGCTGTTATTTCCCGAAGAGTATCTGAAGCTGTGGAGCTTCTTGATAAAGGCAGGGAGTTGCAAGCTCTTGGTGATTTCGATCAAGCTCTTCTCTACTTCACTCAGGTTTCAACTAATTTTGCGACTTTTATCATATGATTTTAGTTTTCGTGCAGATGTGTTTTTATAGTTGTGCTCATTGATTCGGTTCCGATTACTCTGTTTGAGGACTTCGAATTCCTAAATTTAATGCTAGGCGTGATTTCTGTCATGGTATCAGAGTCATGCCTGTCAATAGCATACTCAAGTGTCGAACAAAGAAGCAAGTCTCGAAGGTGTAGTCAAAAGTGACTCAAGTGTCGAACAAAGGGTGTACTTTGTTCGACGGCTCCAAAAGGAGTTAGCCTTGATTAAACGAAGACTGTTCGAGGACTCCATAGGCTTATGGGAGGCTCTATGGTATATGTTGTAGGAGAAGAAGATTGTTGAGGATTCTTGGAAGAGAAGTCCCACCTTCCCTAATTAAGGGAAAGATCATGGGTTTATAAGTAGAATACTATCTCTATTGGTACGGAGTCTTTTGGGGAAACCAGAACCAAAACCATGAAAATTTATGCTAAAATTGGATAATATTATACCATTGTAGATGTATATGATTCCCCGCTAAGTCTTGATTGGCCTAACCTATATAAACAATGTTCAGCTGCAGTCTAGATATAATGTTTATTAAACTTACGGCAGACATCGTGAAAAATTGAAAAATTAATATGCTTTGGCGGAGGCTTAGTGTTGCAGTTGTACTTTTCTTGGCAACAATTTGACGATTGTACCGCACTCACTCCCAACACTGAGTGAGTCAAGTCAACTTAAGATCGCGTCACCTTCGACCGGGCAACATATGTTCAAGCCTTTGGCTCCATTTTGAGAAGAAGGTTTTAGAAAACGGAGACAGGGAGATTTTGAAAGAGAGTTTGAAAGCAAGATTGAGAGAGATTGAAAACAATGTTATATGACTACAAGCAAAAGGCAACACAACGGCTTAAATAACATATAACTTTTCAGGTAGGGAGAATTTGACAACTAGTCGCATCACCCTATAAGACAAGGTTATTTAGGTCTAATAGGCCTAGATGTGATTTCGCCGAACGGTCATACAAAGTCTAGGTGAGAGGAACTGACGACTAATCGCATCCCCCTATAGTACATTTTGGGACATTTTATGTCTACCAAGCATAGACATGATTCTGCCGAACTATCCTACACTTAGAAAATTCAATAAGAAAATTATACGTCATGAAAGCAGTAAAGGAAAGCAATAAAGTGATAAAAGACAAGGATTTAGGCATGCTATGGTATGCAGTCATGGGCAACACGCCTTAGACAATCATCATGACCATGACACTTAGCATGCATTCAAGTGGGCATGATCAGAATTTGATCGGGTTTGCTGTAAACGAGTAATGAAGAACCTGCCCACCTCTACGCTCTAAGAACCGATATGCCTTGTTTTGAAACTCCTCTCTTAATTGCAATTGAGAATTTCCAACTATGGATTGTGCTTCCACTAATATATGTATAACAAGTCATTCATGATTTGAAACGAGGACTTAACTGAACATCAGAGATTTTTTATTATCCAGATAGAAGTATGAGAAATTATTACGTTTTGCATTTATGATTGTGCTTGAGATTAGCGTCCGTGCCATGGTGGATCATTAAAATTCTGATGTTCAGGAATTTTCGCATAAACAATCATTCTATAGGCTCTAAGATGCAGATATCTTAGAAAACATAAAATTCTGAGTGTTGTTCTGAGAATCAAATAGAAATAAGAGGGTTTAGCATGTGACAAGAACGGTGAGATCCCACGTCAGTTGGGAAGGAGAACGACAAACCTCTCTCTAGTAGACGTGTTTTAAAATCCTTGAGGGGAAGCCCTTAAGGAAAAGTCCAAATATGACTATATCTATTAACGATGGGCTTGAGCCATTACTAGAAGACTTTAGAATTCTTTCGTTTTGAAGCTCATTATCAATCCACATCCCTTGTTTTGTTGAGAGAGAGTTAATTAGTTTTTGTTCTTGTGTAATTTCAGGTAATTGATAAATATAAAGATTTTGCCTTCTCGGACTATGCTCGAGTAGGCCGAGCATTCGCCCTGTATGAAATTGGTCACCGAGAAGAAGCAATTGCAGAGATGGAGGATGTTTCCATATCACTGAAGGGATATCCAGGTAACTTGAATAGATTTTCCACAACAGTTTTAGCTGGGGAAATGAACTTTCTCATACAATGAACAAGTCATTGAACATATATGAGAATATGTTATTTAATGATTCTTCACACAAAAGTTTGCATCAAATTTATGAAATTTTGAGGGCCCAATTTCAACTAAGTTTTAGGTCAAATAGGATGAATTTGAGAGTTTGAGGTAAAAAAATGATACACATCTCAAAGTTAGTTGTCATGATTGAGGTGTACGATTATGAGACATGGATACTTACTTGATACAGAGACTATGAATGTTGTTCTTAGAAAATCAAGGGCGTGGACATGGAACAATCACGTATATTAGTATTACATTCTTATATCATTTTTAAAAACTCTTCATGTCTATCAGGTCCGAGCCATGAGGCTCACCCCGGAGCCCCTGGTATAGGGGAGAAAAACTTCAAATCTCGATTATAAAAAAAATCAATAATTTATACATTCATTCATATATTTAAAACAAGTTTGATGTATTTCACTCTCAAAATATCGAGTGAAATTCGGAATGCTCTCGAGAGACCAATTATAATACTTCATGAGAAATATTCCTGGGTGTCTCTTCTCTTATAATACTAGCATTGATGTATCAGTATATTATTTTGCAGAAGTGCATGCGGCACTGGCTGCAGCCTTATACGTGGATAAACATGCTCCATTGCTGGCTGAAAACCAATTCACCATAGCAACTTTGCTTGATCCTCATTATGTGGATATCTCGTATGTGAAAGAAACAAAGCACTGGCCTCCGAGTTTGATTAGTTCTTTGAAAAATTTCTTAACACTTTCTTAGACATTTGTAATAATGTATAATACATACAATACAGCTTCTGTCATAAAAAAAAACTGAATTCCTTGTTTTCTAAGTGTACAAAATGTATCATAGTCTATAGATAACTCTACAAACCCATGCAAGTAGTAGAAAAATAGTTTATTTCAAATCTCTTATCCCTTCAAATTGTAATATGAATTGATTTTCTTTCATTTGATCTTGCTCATTGCTTATCCTCCTTCATGTTTGTTCATCAGCTATTCCGTTTACTTTCTTGTGGATCTATCATTGAATGTCGAAGGTGTAGTCAAAAGTGACTCTAGTGCCGAACAAAGGGTGTACTTTGTTCGAGGACTTCAGAGGAGTCGAGCCTCGATTAAGGGGGGGTTGTTCGAGGGCCTCATAAGTCTCAGGGGAGGCTCTATGGTGTACTTTGTTTGAGGGGAGGATTCTTGGGA